ACAGGTATAAAACCTTATAATATGGCTTCCTGTGCCCACCACCTGCAAAAATCAACAAATGAACAAACAAAACCAACAAAGAAAAAAAAATAAAACAAAATTTCTTTATCTGTTAAAAGGAGATAAAAAGATGATAAAAGTGCCTCTGTCAAGTAGTAGTTCTGATTCTTAAATGAAGCTAGTCCATGTAAAGCTATTAGTACAATGGTTGGCCATGGTAAGGATCTAGTAGATGTCAATTGTATTTCCACTTAAGGCAGAATCAATTTTACTTTTTTCAAAATCTTAGAACTCTTGGACTCCGAATTTTACAAGTACATATACACTTTACTAAGTTGACTGGCTTGTTTCTGGATCTGTCTATAAAACTGATTTTTTATATATTTAAGTCTGCTTTCTTATTAACACTGTATGGTCAGAGATGCAGTCTTATGAGCTACTGTATTAATAACAATGAACAACAGATGTTTTCAGTGTTAGCAGGCTATTGACAGCATATAAGTTGCTCAGAACCTGGAGACGTTTAAAGAGAATGACATTAAAATCCACCCCCCGCCCCCAAGACACACACCTATAGGAAGAAAATAATGGTGGAAATATAACAAAGGTGTTTATTTGGGGTATAAACTGTTCTTTCATTGAGCAAACACTGTGATATGCTGATGAAGACACAAGAGAAGTAGACACACTCAGAGTGGTTTATAAGCAGAATAGCTTATAACCCTGGTGTGGAAAAGGACCTTTCTAGAACTCACAGAACAGTCTCTCTATAATTTCATTCCTAAAAGGAATACAAGCTTTTATGGATAAGGATGTGGAAGACCTAGGTGGTATCCATGGTTTCTGCAGATCTTTTCTGTTTTGTGCTGTTTCTCAATAGTCATTCATCTCTGCACACACTGTCATTGAAATACAGTACGTTATTCAGAATTGAAGATGCATACACTTACTATATATATTTATCTTGCACATGCTGTGTACATATGTGCTTTTTACCAGCATCAAAGATGAGGTAAGTTTCTGACTGGCCCCTTCTACGAATACCAGTCTATGTGATAACACAATTCCAGAAACTAGTCTTTAGTCCCAGCTCTGGCAGGTCTTCTCAACGTGGTTGACTGTGTATGAGCATATCAAGGGTTTTGCCTCTGGGTAATGCTATTATACAGACTCCTGTCAAGTAAGCACAGTTTAAAAATCATTCAATCAGGCAATTAAGGAAATTATTAATGCATTACCCTCTTTGGTCAGTGTTGACTGGCATCAATATTTTCCATAGTCTTTGCTCCTTGGATAACTTTGGTATATGAAACAACTACATTGAAAACAAGTTTGGAAGCCTAGACCACTTGGAATATGTATTTAGAATCTAAGGTCCATAGTCAGGATTTAAGGTTCTGATCTAAGCATCTTTTAACCTTATTACTCTTTTTGCAAGAAACACCTCAGGCTCTGAGTATTTTTCCCCCTTTGACCTTTTGACTACTTAACATAGTAGATTATCCAAGTGAAAGTATCAATTGAATAGTTCCCTTCCTTCCCCTTCCACCTATACCATGTTGGTGGATGAAAAGAAAAATAATAAAAGGTGGAACAAAAATATTTAATAGTAAAATTAGATTCAACAGAAGCAGAATTGAAGAAAGAAACCTAATTGTTCCACTTTTAACACACGTGTTTTCCATAGACTGCTGGTTTTCTTCAATTTTCATAATTACAATTTCAGGCAGCATCCCTCCTTCCAGAACGGTTATCCCATTTGTGGGTTACCCATTTCCTGTGCATTTCCTTCCTCCAGCCCACCTCTTGGCCACATTAACATTACTGCATGTCAGAAACGATAGCACAGGTGGCCAGAGCAGGTTTGGGAGAAGAAAAAAATGAAATGGGAAATTGTCAAGGTTGCTTTGTGTTAAATTAAAGCATTTGGCGAGGAGAGGCCCAAACTCACTCTCGGCCAGAGTGAGACATCTGAAAAACATAGGCGTTTGGATAGTTTTGCTATTTCTTTCATGATCATTTCTGTTAACCAAGCACTAGTTGGCTAGGTTTTTCTGATGAGGTTGGAGCAGTTGTGAACTTGGAAATAAAGTTGAGATTATGCTCACATTTTGGGACATATCAATGCCAATATTTACTGAAAATGTAATCAATCAGCCAATATTTACTGAAATCCTAGTTAGACTTAATTTAATGCATAGTCTTCTAAGGGCTTACAATCAAGACAAAATCCACTCATAATACTCAATAGTCAACAACAGTTCAGTAGAATTCAATGAGTAGGGGTTGTATGTGTAGAATAGAGTGCATGTGTGTTGTGTCCCTAAGTTCAGGGAAGGGATGAAATAGATGGGGCTGAAGAACATGAGACAGCTTTATGGGAGGGGGTACTCCTAAGCTGTGCCCCTAAAACTGGGGAGAGGTAGGGAGAGTGGGATTTGGATCAGTATAGTAGTAGTGGGTGGGGGGGAGCAAAAGGAGGGAAGGTAGGAGGGGAAGGGAGAGATAAAGAGAGAGAGGCCTTGAGTACCAGACTGAAGTCAAAGTGAGAAAACGGTGCAAATGTTCATAAAATATATAAGCCCCTATTTTCTGGATATTATCTGTAGTAAAAAAATGGGTAGACCCTTTGTTAGAATGAATCCTTGAAACTACTCAAGTGTGTTTATAATATTCAACAAAAGGCTATCTCATTCGGAGAATAAATTAATAAATTCATGTCGGGGAGCATTAGAGGTATCTGTTGCTAGTTAGCATTTGATTTTGAAGGATGAAGTATGAAAAGAGATGAGCTTCCATTTAGGTTGTACTTCAGATGAAAGCAGAGTCGTGGCTACAAAGCCCTGGAAGACCTGACCTTGCTTTGCCTTCTGATGTGCCCATGCCATTCTGTCCCTCCTTCGCTTAAGCTTCGGCAATACCCCACCCTCTTTCTCTGTGCTAACTTGTTTCCCACCATTTGGTCATTGCATTTGCTGTGTCCTCTACCAAGACACTGATCTCCAGGCCCTTGGGCAGACCAGCTCTCATCAGTTATGTCTCAGCTCACATTTCATTTTCTGAGTCTTAGGGCTTTTTATGACCATCCCACCTAAGTGGTATACTCGGACCCCTCAGCATTCACTAACCTATCATTCTGTTTAATTGCTTTAAAGCCTAAGGAATGCTCTGAATGGTCTTTTTGTTTATCATCTGTATTATCCCTTTAGAGCAGTGGTTCTCAACCGTGGCTGTACATTAGAATCACCTAGGAATCTTGTTAAAATCCTGATTTCTGGGCCTCATCCTCCAGAAATTCTGTTTCTTTGTTACTAATGATGAGGCCCAGAAATCAGGATTTTAACAAGATTCCCAGGTGATTCTAATGTGCAGCCAAGGTTGAGAACCACTGCTTTAGAGGGATCATTAGGAGAGGGACTCATCTGCCGTGTTCACTGCCGGATCCAGCATGTAGTAGTTGCTCAACAAAGTAGGTGTTCAATGAATCAGTGGCACTCAGGTCTCCATTGTGCTTAGCACATACAAAGCTTATGTCCTGAAGTACTGAACTGTTTTAAAGCAGGAAGAAAATAGAGAATAGTGAAAGACCTGGGGGGGCTCGTGTCGCTATGGCATTGTGTTACAGTACATCTCTTTTTCTTTGTTCCTCTATGGAGTCTTCAGAAGCTGAAAAACAACACCGCTCAGAGGGATATTTAAAGAGATGAGCTTTGAAGGAATAATTATTTGGGTTGGACTAATAGTAGTAAATTATATCCAGAAGAGCTGCTGATTAATTCATTTCTCGATATGTGTGTATGTTGTAGCCATTGGGGAATGAAATCATGACACATGATAAGCTAAGGTTCGATGTTTCTACAGCCTGCCCCTTGAAGCCCCCACACATGTTTTCCTGTGTATGTCATGTTTCTGCACTTTGCACTGTTCTTCTTTTCCTCCTCAAAGTAGTGCTACCCTGGCTGATGTGGCTCAATTGGAATATCATCTTGTACACCGAAGGGTCTTAGGTTTCATTCCCAGTCAGGGCACATGTCCAGGTTGTGGGTTCGATCCCCGTTCAGGGTGTGTATGGGAGGCAACCAATCCATGTTCTCTTTCACATCAATGTTCCTCTCTCTGTGTCTCTCTCCCTCTCCCTTCATTTCTTTCTCTAAAATCCATAATAATGTATCCTCAGGTGAGGATTTAAAAAAAAAAGTCAAAGTAGTGCTGAATGAGTGTCTAACCACTACAAACTATGGTACAATAGTCATTGTTAACTTATTGAAAGAAGATTTTAAAAACTGTTCTCTTTTTTCTTGTTCATGGGTTTCTCACAGTAGCACACTTCTGGCTGACACTATACCAAAGCTACCTGAAATGGTCCTCATTCATAGCTGGGTTGGCTTGTAGGTGGTTGGAATTATAAAGTATATGTTCTTCAGTTACCTAGTGTGAATTTATAAATGAAATACTATGATGCCTTTTGTGCGTCATTAATCCACGCTAACAATAAAATGGTACATCCATTATTCTGCTGTTGAAATAGACTTTATTATGTTTTTCCAAAGGATCAATGGTATGAGAACAAGTTGGAGCTGGTGGAAGAGATTTCATTCGCCTTTCCCACATCTGTCCTTCCTGCCTTCGCCTATTATCATGCTAGAGATCCATGTTTCTACTCTAACGGGCAATCCACCAAATTTCTGCTAAATTTTTTTAAAATTTATCTTTATTATTTAAAGTATTACAGATGTCCCCCTTTTTCCTTCCAATAACCCCCTCCACCCCGCTCCACCCCCCCTCCAGGCCTTCCCCTCACTGTTGTCTGTGTCCTTGGGTTATGCATATAGCCTATCAATTCTTTAATTAATCTCTTCCTGTCCCTCCTCACCCCTTCCCTCAGATTTGTCAGTCTGTTCCATGCTTCCAGGTTGCATTATCTTAACACACAGCTAGTTCTCCCCCCTCCTTGCTGTTTAGTAATCTGCAGTGTCCCCTTCTCCCCCTTCCTCCATTAGCACTGCAGTGACAACACGCACCCCTGCCAATCGGACATGAACATTGAAGGAGCCTGGAAGAGAGGCTACACGGGAAAGAACGTTGTGGTGACCATCCTGGACGACGGCATTGAGAGGACGCACCCGGATCTGATGCAGAACTATGTGAGTGCTTGCTGCGGTGGGGACAAGGGAGCAAGGGAGCTCGTGGTAGGATTACCAAAAAGGGGGGAAGCTACTGAAAAAATGCAGCAACCAGATCCAGTGGTCTGTGTTCTGCTCCTGTCTTGTAAGAGACGCTCTCTCAGAGTCCAGGACCCATGAGATAACACTTTCAACTCCCACGTGCCTTTGATGTTCTGACAACAAACAGCAGGTGATAAGGTAGCAGAAACCCCACCACCAACACCACCTGCTCCAACAACAACCACTTTTCTCAGCTCCTCCACACAGCCAGGAAGTGCTGCTTTTTTGTTTGTTTGTTTTATGGAGAAAAGTGTACTTAGAACTTTTCTCAAGTTATTCTGTTCGTCTATTTCTCTCCTTTTTAAAAGGACAGTAATGATCAGCCTACCAGTATTCCTTAGGGATCAATGAATTCTTTTTCTTAAGAAGGCACCACAATTCCAGGACTCAGAGGACATAAGATGAGCCCAAGGTCATCGAACAAGCAAAAGTGCTGAAACTCAGTACTTTCATTGAAAGCTCATGGTCTTGATACCCACTGCCCACGTAGGGAGTAGGGGGCAGGGGGGGCGGGGTAACCTGTTCCAGGACACTGGGATCTTTTGCTCCTGGGGCCTCCAGGGCCCCTCTACCACCATGATAGTCACTGCCTGGAAATGTGCCAATGGCCCCCTGTCTTCTCTCCAGAATTACCCCTTCCTGGGCTTCTCCTCCCTAAGTTTGGTGAAAAATGGCATCATTATCTGAGAATGTGCCATTCTTTGTCTGCTCTAAATTCCGGCTTCCTGACACCTTGGTATTCTCCCTAAAATATTGTGTTACTAAAGTGCCTGCAATGACTCTGTTATCTGCAAATACTAGTAACAACTCTGATTCTTGTCACGGCTTCACAGAAACTCCTGGTGGGTCTCACTCACTCCCATGCCTCCTGACTTCTGCTCTAACTTCTTTTCTGTTGACAACTGTTTCCACCCAGAAACACTGATATCACTATATACCCACTTAAACGTCAATCACTTTCATGCTTCTCATGAAACCATTGGGGTAGAATTGGCCATATATTCTCTTCAGTGTTTCTCATTTGTTCAATCTCATTTATTTAATGGCACTTAAATTAATTTTCCTTTTGTCACTCAAACCTGAAAACCCTCCATTTTATGTTTTCAAATAAATAAAGTACTTCCAAGTCACTTCCTTGGCACATCAGAAACTACGACTGTCTCCAGCAGTCACCCAAGATTCTGACCAATGAGAACCTTCCTTCACACAGAACACCCAGGATCACCTCACACTTCCATCATCTTCAATTACATTTCCTCCCAATATTCTGCCTCACTGCCCTTTTTGTTTAAAAGAATTCAGCCAATGCCCTGGCTTGTGTGGTCAGTTGATTGGAGCATTGGCCCATACACCAAAAGGTGGTGGGTTCGATTTCCAGTCAGGGCACATACCCAGGTTGCGAGTTCGATCCTTGGTTGGGGCGCATTCAGGAGGCAACCGATTGATGTTTCTCACATCAATATTTCTCTCTCTCTTTTCTCTAAAATAAATTTAATAAAAGGCATACCCTCAGGTCAGGATAAAAAAAATTCAGCTAAGAAACTTCACAAATTAATTTTTGTAATGAAATCCTGAAACAAGTTTCCCCAAATTAGATGATTTTCTCTAAGGAGAGAGAGAGAGAGAGAGAGAGAGAGAGAGAGAGAGAGAGAGAGAGAGAGACTGCCTCCAAGCACACTCAGATAAACTTGTCTCTTTATAGCACAGACTCTTAGAGCTAAAAAGGAGCTTCAGTTCAGTCTCCTCATTTGGTAGGCTAGGAAATGAGGCCTGATCCTAATGAGTTAACCCAGACTGTATAGAGAACAGAACTGTGGCTATAGACCTCCTAGCAAATAAGTCTGTCTTTTCATATGCAATGCTGTTTTTATGGTATATTCCTGCTCCCCGCTGCATTGGAATGTATCTGACAAAGTACAAGCAGCTTTAACCTAATTGTGATTGCATTCTTTACTATTTTTATTTTCCTCCTTGAAAGAAAATTCCAGAATTTATTTGTGCAATTAGCAGTACTGGCACCGTCTCAGTTCTAATGTCAGAGCTATGATGAGCAGAGAAAAAAGCACAGTGGGTGGGGTATCGTATGACCTGGGTTCAAGTCTTGGTTTCACAGGCAGTTGGTTTCATGCCTGTGGAACCAGGTTACTTAACCTGTCTGGCCAAGTTAGTTAGCCTGTCTTGGCCTCTGTTTCCTTCCAAGTGAAGTTAGTAAGTCACACTAGCTACCCTCCTTCATGCTCTATGACAGTGATGGCGAACCTTTTGAGCTCTGCGTGTCAGCATTTTGAAAAACCCTAACTTAACTCTGGTGCCGTGTCACATAGAGAAATTTTTTGATATTTACAACCATAGTAAAACAAATATTTATATTTTTGATATTTATTTTATATATTTAAATGCCATTTAACAAAGAAAAATCAACCAAAAAAATGAGTTCGCGTGTCACCTCTGACACGCATGTCATAGGTTCGCCATTACTGCTCTATGACCACTGAGCAGGGCTACATGTCCCCCTTTATCCAGGAAGCGGGGACTTGGCACCTTTATATGTAATGCATATATTTTGCTTAATTCCCCCAAACATTTCAGAGTCTATGTACCATAAGTTATTTTTAGAAACAGAGCCTTTGATAAAGATAGAAAACAAAAATAAATTTCTGTTCACTAAAACCAAAACCAGGAATTAACAAAAAGCATCAGAAAATTCAAAGGATCCTAAATTAGTTATATCTAGACTAGAGTGATATAAATTTGCTTCAGAGGTATTTTTGCCTCATTTTGAACCTTGACATATAATAAAACTTTATTGGTTATTTTGATTGGGTTACAAGGCCATTGGATTTTAGTAAAAAGTTTGAATTGTAGATTCTTTTATAGTAGATAAAACATCTGAAACCAGACAAATATCGCCTAATAGATATCCTAAAGTAACCTGATATAGTAAATTTTTAATAGTGATTTTTAATTGACCTGCCAATTATTTGTGAATGATTTTTAACTTAAAAAGTGTTTGAATTATGGTAAGGGATTTGATATTCAAGAAATGAAGATAGAGAGTCCATGGAGAATAAACCTCTTTGCTTCTAGATAGTCCAGGAGTACTTCACAGAAAAGGTGGTAATTGAGGACATATTTGAAGAAATTGGGTAAGAAGCCAGGTCTTGGTCTAAGAGGAAAAGTGCTGGCAAGCATCTACCAGACACATCTTTGGTCTGTGAAGAGTATTTCTTCTCTCTAGGGGGGGAAAAAGACGACACTGATTATTACTGAACAAGGCATCCTGACACTAGCGAACCGTAAATGTATTATTTAATCTAATTACTCTCTTGCAGAAATGTGTTTAAGAATGCATGAGCCTGCAGGTTAATGGCTAATTAATGACCATCTGTCTCCTTTCTCTCTCTCCTTTGTGGCCATAGGATGCTCTGGCCAGTTGTGACGTGAATGGGAATGACTTGGACCCAATGCCTCGTTATGATGCAAGCAACGAGAACAAGTAAGGCCCAAGTGAAGGCTGACTAGCGTGTGACTGGCAGGGAGCCTTGCTTTTTGCTTTTGCTGAGAGAAATACTTTACTTGGGACTCCTTGGTAACAGATGATCCCGAATGTGCTCCAGGATAAATAAGTGTCTTTCCACGGACGCTTCTGGGTAATAAAAGGGAGAGGTCCAGATAGTAAGAATCATTGCAGAGAGAAAGAGAGAGAACACTCTAGAATGATTCAACTTCCAGATTTTGAGAGGAGAGCTGGGGAATATTCATAATTATCTTTCAAGTGGAAATTGACCCTGTGACCTATTTGTTTAGGAATGGGGTGCTAAAGGGAGAGGCAGAGAAAGTATCTCCCAAAAGAGTTGCTTTACTCTGTTAAGTTCAACAAACTTGATTGAATTCTGTGCTTGAGGACTCTTTCCTGTCCTCTTGCTGTCGTGATGGTGTTTTCCACTAATAGACCTAAACACTTAAAGGTTTGCCAGGTGTGGAACACATTACATTTCTTATCTCCACAGTCAAGAGCTTTAGAAACCCATTTAACCACAGTTACACTTTCCAGTTAGTACAGTAGTTTTTATGAAAGCAAATGAAAATGCACATCTCTTTGATAAGGTAGAATATCTTAACATTCTTCAGAAAGTAAATGGAAATGGTATTTGTTGCTTACGATGATATAGGTATTTTAAAGGCTGTAGTTATTTCTAATCTCTAGATCACATTAACTTTTTTCCTTTTACTGCAAAGCTCCTCCAGCATAATACTGTGATTCAGATACTATCATTGGAATTCTTATTTACATATTTTAGTTTGGGTTCTGCAGAAGTTTCAAAGAGAGGTGTTGTGCCCATTTATTATGTACGGTTTCCAGCCTGTGTTTTTCCTTAGGGAAAATTTTCTCAGCCAGGATTATTTGATTAAGTCAATAAGTTTAGATAAAACTATCTGACCTAGATAATTGTGACTGTACATGTGATTTTTTTCTTTTTCTCTCTCTCTTTACCATCTACCAAAAGAGTTACTTTGGAAAATATGCTGATTGTTAATATTAAAAACTGAGTCAATATTATAGATCACATTTAGTGGTAAAAGCATTAATATGTAAATTGATGTAGATAGAATTTTCTAGAACTTTCTAAAGAGAAAGGGAACTAAACTAAACTGGATAGTTTTCCTTTCAGACCTGGTCATTGCTATCTAGATTACACTGTTTGAAGTTATGGTGAATTTCACACAAAGGATTATAATTTGAGATCCTGAGCTACTGTATTTAACCTAATGTGCAAGTTAGAAGGAAACACAAAAGAAAAACTTGAAGCTTCAGTAAAGTCATCACTAATAAATATCAATCTATTCTGCTATAATGCAATATATGCATTCCTAAAAATACTTGCACTCTGCAAGATCTAAAACCACAGAGTAATAAGCAAATGGAGTTGGACCTTAGCACTCAAAAACTTCATCAGTGACACACACAAAAATGACTCAAAACAATCCCAATTTTATCCATGTAAAGTGGTTAAGAAATATATAAAACTACAATCACTGTGACACTTTATCTGCATAAAGACCTGAAGTTTGTTGGTGGACGTGTGTGCCCATTAGATCGATTCCGACTCACGTGCCTGCCACTCTGTGTGCAAAAGTCAAAGAATGAGAGGAAAAAAGAAAGATGAACATTTCTACAAAGGACAGAGACTAGAGAGGACAACCATAAAGTAGGCTTGTGGGAAAGGGGGACAGAAGCAGAGTGAGATACACCACCAGTACGGCCTTCGGGAGCCTGGCAGCTGCAAGTTACTGTGAAATGGAAGGAGGGTGATCGGAAATCATGGGAATTATCAGCACGCCTATGGACACGTGTGGACCACCGTGCTCCTGCGGGGTGTGGCTCTGTGTAGTGTCCTCTGTGTTGTTCAGGGCACTGCCACTGGGTGTGTTTTCTACGTCTCCCTAGAGTTTCTGGGGCAAAATTGTGTATCAACAAATGCAAATTTCACATATGTTCAAACATTCGCTAACATATCAGTCATTGTTGATTGATTGCTTAGATATATCAATCAAAACATTTGTGTTTTAAAAACAAAACAAGTAAACATTTGTGTTTTCAAGGCAAGCAGTATAGCAGAACTGACCGTACTATATCCTTTAGCTAAATTTATCCCATCAACATTTTATATAGAGAAAACAGAAACAGGAAAGTCTAGATCATGTTAATACCCAAAGTGTCAAGGGACAAGGGGGTCTGTTGGTAGAAAAATGAAAATGTATTGTGCCCTGTAGTCAGTTCTCTCTGAATCTACATGCGCTGAGTTTTGCATTGAAACTGTCTGTGGTGATAGTGACTGTTCTTTAAGCGGGGGTGGGGGCGGTTGTGGTCCTGACCTGTGACTAACATCGCTGACCACAAAGTCTATATGTAAAGCTAATTCTTTCAGTATTGACTTTGATGTCTCTGTACAGTCTGCCTTTTAAAAACTGTATTCTTTGTGAGGATTCCTTTTCAACTTGGCCACTCCCCAAGACCTTTGTTAAGAATCACAGCCATGCTGCTCACTCTGGGGTATTCTGGTGTGTCCTGTTTTGACCCATTCTAAGCACCGTCCATGGTCCATAGAATGTAGTGTGAATCTGATTATCAGGGGACATGGGAATTGGTCCAGATGTGTGCTTAGGTTTGTAGTCTCGAGAGAGAAATGTGGCATTTTCCATGGTGCAACACCAGCACTGCCTACCTCTATTTTATGAAAGTCAGCAGTCACCTGGGCTATCAAATGTCCCTTTACCTCCTCTCATAGTGCTGCCTGATTTTTATTTATTTTTTGCCAACCGTAAGCATGTAGTCACGCATTTAGGGTTACAATTAAAATATCTTCTCTGTTCATTACACTATAACTATAGATGTGATGGATGAATCTGCCTGTAAGCATAGATTCATAGACAGATCATTCTGTTTGAATAGAGGTCACTTGGTCAGGAAATAAGAGTGGGTTTGTAGTCTAGAAGAGTTGACTTGCCTTGGTTCTCCTTGATTACATTTATAGTCTTTGGACCTAACTACTCTGAACTTTAGTATTTTTTTAAAAATCTTTAAAGTGGGCATAATACTTCCAAAGAGTAGCAGTGAAGCATGTAAAACACCAAGCATACTGCTGACGATATAACAGGTGCTAGATAATGATAGCTTTTATTATAATGATGTGTTTTATTCCCTTATCCAATTCTTGGTAAATAACGGGTTACAATTATAATGATCTCAAAATAAATATGCATATGGGCATTTAAAATTTAAACTATGACTTGGAGGTCTTCATTTCCAAGGTTAGGGGTTTAGTTAGGTCTTTCTGGTCCTTTAGGGGCTCGGAGCTATGAATCATTCAGTCTGTAATAAGTCTGCTTTTCATTAATTCCATTTCCCCATCTCCCTCGGGGATCAGGAGTCCTTGAATTTGATGCAAGATAGTCAAGGGGAGGAATTTCTAATCATCAGAACGAGGAAGTCGAGGGATTTGCTATGCAAGTGCCTCCTCATTGTATGGTCTGACCAGTAGGCTTCAGAGCATATTTGAAATTATTTCATATGTGGCAGCATTTGCTCATTCATTCAATAGGTGTGCATTGATGCCCCACTTTATTAGTGATGATGCTATGCTAACTGCTGGGGGGATGCCGTGGTGAAATAATAGAGGTTACTTACTAATGGATTGAGTTGGGAGATGACTCAGTAAGAAGCTGTAATGCCTGAAGGCTTCTAGTACTAAGAGAGAATATACCCTCACAACTTTATGCAAATCATTGTTTCTTAGACTCACAGGATTACATTTCTAGTCCTAAAGCTTTAGGGTGAAGGTAATCACTTCTGAAGTACAAAAGTTATAAAAATCCACTTCTTACTACTTTTTCAAGTCCCCCAAATGGTAGTGTGTCAGACCTAAATAACAGATACTCAAGAAATAGCATTATTAGGGGAGACCGTACAACTAGTCCTCCAATTCGGCTTTGCCTCCATTCTGAATAAAGCTGACTGCATTGTTCTAGGCTTTAAAATAGAAAATGCCTCCCTGTAAATGAAACTGCCTCCTGGCATTTCATACCACGACTCCTATTTCCGATAAATGAATTATTGATGTCTGAGCTAGATTGTCCCTTCCCTAGGTTGCTTCTTGTTAAATGTTCCCTCTGCTTAAAAGTCATAGCCACATATTTAGTGGGAGATGAGACCATGGTGTTATATTTTGAGTGTAACACATATGGGCCCAGAATCTAATTCCTTTTTAAAATAAACCAACCCACAGGTGAAAGACTCATTTTCCCAAGGGAATGGATTTTTCTTTTTGTTGCTTATCTCTGTTTCTAGGAAGATTTAACCAGGGTGGATGGGAGCACATTTCTTCTGGTCCTTTAGTCTCTTTTCACACATCATTTCTGGTTTTAAGAATGTCACCATGGCCGTAACCGGTTTGGCTCAGTGGATAGAGCGTCGGCCTGCGGACTGAAGGGTCCCAGGTTGGGTTCCGGTCAAGGGCATGTACCTTGGTTGCGGGCAGGTCCCCAGTGGGGGGTGTGCAGGAGGCGGCTGATCGGTGTTTCTGTCTCATCGATGTTTCTGGCTCTCTGTCTCTCTCCCTTCCTCTCTGTAAAAAATCAATAAAATATATTTTTAAAAAAAGAAAGAAAAAAAAAAAAGAATGTCACCATGTTGCAGAAACCCAAGTGTGTATGGCCTCTCATTCTTACAGATGGACTATTGTCAGGGGGTAGTGTCCCAAAGCCCGGCCAATGAATGTAGACAGTGTTTTCTGATTATACAGATATATTAATCCAATCTGAGAGAGAGAGAAAATAAAAGAAAGCACACTTTAGGTCTCTGATCAATAGCTGCGTGACCTTAATACTTCTTAATGTAGCAGCATTATTTCTTTACACACAGGATTTAGCCAAACATGTTAAGATGAAATTACCCTGTAGCTAAGTAGGTGAGAAAAAACCTGCCAAAGAAAAGCA